GTCGTCTGGTAAATAATTTTACACAGACGACTTACAAGTAAGTCGTACTAATATTCCCGCCTAAAATTTTTAAAAATTTTATTTTTCCGCTTGAATAATTTAAACCAGACAACTTACTTGTAAGTCTTCTGGACGACTTACTTATAAGTCTTCTGGACGACTTAGTTATAAGTCTTCTGGACGACTTATTTCTAAGTCTTCTGGACGACTTACTTGTAAGTCTTCTGAACGACTTACTTGTAAGTCTTCTGGACGACTTACTTGTAAGTCTTCTGGACGACTTACTTGCAAGTCTTCTGGACGACTTACTTGTAAGTCTTCTGGACGACTTACTTCTAAGTCTTCTGGACGACTTACTTGTAAGTCTTCTCAAAAGTCTTCTATTTTAGTTTCCCTCTAAAAATATTTTAGTTTCCCGCTAAAATTATTAAAGTCTCCTGGACAACTTACATTTCAGTCATCTGAAACAAAAATATTTAGCCTAATTTTTTTTTGTTTCCCTATATAAAGAAAAATTTACACATTCTCTCTCCTCCTCTCAAATGTCTGCAACAAAAAATGTAATGTTCATCTTTCTAGAACTCTCCAATCTCTCCATAATCTCTTTGAACTTATAAACACCAAACTTTTTATCAATTTATTGTTTTTGTCTCATGTATTTCTCATTAACTTATCTTGTTTTGTAGGTTTTTCATCACATGATTCTCATATTCCACTCATTTAAAGATGGATCTATTAACTTTATATGAATTTTTCAGTTATGTCTCATGTTTTTCTCACTAATCTATCTTTTTTNTCTTTGAACTTATAAACACCAAACTTTTTATCAATTTATTGTTTTTGTCTCATGTATTTCTCATTAACTTATCTTGTTTTGTAGGTTTTTCATCACATGATTCTCATATTCCACTCATTTAAAGATGGATCTATTAACTTTATATGAATTTTTCAGTTATGTCTCATGTTTTTCTCACTAATCTATCTTTTTTTTTTTTTTTGCAGGTTTTTAATCAGATGGTTCTCATCTTCATTTGGATGTATGTTATGTTTTCTAAACAAGTATATATATATCTAATCTTTCACTCATTTTCTGTGTGTTTTAAGCCATTTGAATATTTTTTGATATGCAGATTTTTCAGATCTGGGTTTGAAATGCAGGGTTTTCAGATCTGGAAGTTTTCTGGACGACTTAGTTATAAGTCTTCTGGACGACTTACGTGTAAGTCTTCTGGACGACTTACGTGTAAGTCTTCTGGACGACTTACTTGTAAGTCTTCTGGACGACTTACTTGTAAGTCTTCTGGACGACTTACTTGTAAGTCTTCTGGACGACTTACGTGTAAGTCTTCTGGACGACTTACTTGTAAGTCTTCTGGACGACTTACTTGTAAGTCTTCTGGGCGACTTACTTGTAAGTCTTCTGGGCGACTTACTTGTAAGTCTTCTGGGCGACTTACTTGTAAGTCCTCTGGGCGACTTACTTGTAAGTCTTCTGGACGACTTACGTGTAAGTCTTCTGGACGACTTACTTGTAAGTCTTCTGGACGACTTACTTGTAAGTCTTCTGGACGACTTACTTGTAAGTCTTCTGGACGACTTACTTGTAAGTCTTCTGGACGACTTACTTGTAAGTCTTCTCGAAAGACTTCTGGGACGACTTACTTGTCTGGATTTTCTGAAAGTTTTCTGACGCTGTCTTCTTTCATATCAAGTGGAGTCCAAGCTTGTCTTTGTAAAGGAATGATCTATTATAGTTTTGTAAAATCAATCCCAAGATGTAATATATGTGCTAACAATGTGTTTACACATGTACAAATCAATGAAATAATAGACTTCAGTAGCTTTTTTCATATTTTGGATCTCCCATTAATCACAATGGCCTTCTGCTCATCTTAATAAACAAGAATGTTTGTAGCCTCGTATTGATACAACATTTTAAGAAGCATTTTAACCTTTCTTCCAACAAATCATCATTGGTGTTAAAGCATATTACATGTTTTACAAGGTTGTGTTGAAAAACTTAGTCAAATTTAGTAAAATTAAGGGAGAAAAAATATTTAGAAAATATGAGATTTACATATCATGAAGTTATTTAACACTTGTAAAAATACAAGTAATTCAAAAAATATTTTTACCTCTTTATTCAACCAAGAAAATTTAGTAAAATTCACAGAAGATCAAACATTACGGGATTTGATCAAATATTTTTATCACTCTATTCAACCAAGAAAACTTAGTAAAATTCAAAGAAGATCAAACATCCAGCTATAAGACTTTCCAGATGACTTAATTATTAGTCATCTGGGAAGACTAACACAAATTCTTAATACATACTCATAAAGTCTGGACGACTTAGTAGAAGACTTATAATTNTCAACCAAGAAAACTTAGTAAAATTCAAAGAAGATCAAACATCCAGCTATAAGACTTTCCAGATGACTTAATTATTAGTCATCTGGGAAGACTAACACAAATTCTTAATACATACTCATAAAGTCTGGACGACTTAGTAGAAGACTTATAATTAAGTCTTCTGGAAAGTCATCTAGCTGGAAGAATTTCCAGATGACTTCATTATTAGTCATCTCAGAAGACTAACACAAATTCTTAATACATACTCATAAAGCCTGGACGACAAATAATTAAGTCGTCTGGAAAGTCATCCAGCTGGAAGACTTAACTGTAAGTCTTCCAGACAGGTCATTATTGCAATTGAAATTTAAATGAGACGACTTACTTCTAAGTCGTCCAGCTTTGTATGTTAAAAATAAAAATCTGGACGACTTATAAATAAGTCGTCTAGGAAAAATGGGTTAATTTTGCATTTGACCGAATTGTGTCAGATATTTGACTTTTCTTGGACGACTTACCAGTAAGTCGTCTCCGGGAAAGTTAAAATTTCAATATTTTATTAAATCTAGACGACTTACGGATAAGTCGTCTTAGGTTAGTTTTGTAATTGAAAAATAAAACTTTAATTTTAAATTTTCCCAGAAGACTTAATTTAAAGTTGTCCACTCAGACGACTTATTCTAAAGTCGTCCGAGATAAGCAAAGTTTGACCGGAAAAAGAATCTGGACGACTTTACTTATCTCAGACGACTTTAGAATAAGTCGTCTGACTGGACGACTTTAAAATAAGTCGTCTGACTGGACGACTTTAAATTAAGTCTTCTGGAAAAAAAATAAAATTAAAGTTTTTTTTTTCATTTACAAAACTAACCTAAGACGACTTATCCGTAAGTCGTCTAGATTTAATAAAATATTGAAATTTTAACTTTTCCGGAGACGACTTACTAGTAAGTCGTCCAGGAAAAGTCAAATATCTGACATAATTCGGTCAAATGCAAAATTAGCCCGTTTTTCCTAGACAACTTATTTATAAGTCGTCCAGATTTTTTTTTTTTTAACATACAAAGCTGGAAGATTTAGAAGTAAGTCGTCCAGCTGGACGACTTAGAAGTAAGTCGTCCAGCTCATCCAGAAGACTTACAAGTAAGTCTTCTACGCGAACAGATCTGGAAAAAATTTCAATTTCATACCTTAAACTAAGTGAGCTGACTTTCTTAGCACACAAAGTCTTCTCCAACCACCCAGAATATCAAATGAAAGTAACCCACCAAGAATTGTATGCTTAAATGGCTCTATCAACCATAAAAAAATTTGAATCAAAAGCTTGGGTTTTTTGTATGAATATGGAGACAAAGTGAAATAGATGTTGTTTTTAGTTCATAACAATTGAGAAAGAGAGAGTGTAAATCGATTTTTGGTGCATTAAGAGCTTCAAATTGGTTGTTCATGGTAGTTAGGGTATTGATGGCAATGTCAATCTTGTAAATACTTGAAGATGATGAGGTTGAAAGAGTAAAAAAATAATTTTCAAAAAAAAAGAAAAGAAAAAAGTGTAATGGCATTTTCGTAAATAATGTGAACAGATGGGGTGAATAAGACAAACGAAAAATCAAAAAACAAGAAAGATTAGTTTTGTGTTTGACTTTGAGTTTTGAGTCAAATTTGGAAAAATCCCTTATAATTTAGATGCTCAAACCTTCGAGCCAATCCTTCAAATTCAGATATATAATAGAAAATTTTATTACTTTGAGTTTTAGTAGAACGAATCAAATATATCTAGTAGAACTATATATTTGGATTACTATATATGCAAGTGAGAGATAAATACCAAGAAATCAAGATTTTAAATTCATTTAACATATTTGAAGGAGAATAAAAAACATGCAATTGGTCATGTTCGAGCAAATCCTTATCGAATCTAGAGTAGTATATAAATGCCACCTTTGAATCATTGAATGTATGTCATGTTTCAAAACAAGTCTTCAGCTATGAATGAATAGCTAATAGATTATACTGATTGTTCTAGCGTGGCCTTGTCTTTAAAAATTACGTAAATTCACAAGACTCAACCAGTCACATCGAATTACCATGATCTATATATATTCACACTGCTGATTATCTCATACAAATTGGACGGTTAACAAAAAAAATTATCCTGAAATAACTTTTCAAAGTTTTATAAACAAAAGATTTCGTGAATGTTTTAACCATTTACTTTCTCAGTTAACGTTGAATGAAATATATGAATATTCTGAACTAATTATTTATTTTACATTTTTATATTCCATAATGTTCCTTATATTGTTTTTTATCTTATTATTTTACATGTTTCTGAAATAATTATTGTTTCCAGTATTATGGTAGGAGCAATGCTACTGGTCCACAGTCTATGTTTCTCTCTGTGTGGATAAGATAAAAAGCAGAAACAGTCAAATCTTTCTTTGGGTCCATTCTCTCTTAGGACACAAGGAAGAACTCAATTTGTTTTTGTTTTTTATTCACTTGTTCACACCCATAGATATTTCATCCACAACTCCAATATTTGTATATATGACCCTTAATATTATCATTTTCGACTATACCTTGTTCTCTTGTGAGCTTGCTAATATTAATATAAGTCCCCCAAAAAGCATTAGAATATTATCTATCATAGCTTTAACTATGTCTTTTTCGCTTCTACATAAGATAGTACACATTACACAAATTCAATAGCATTTTTTAACAAAAACACAACAACATCATGTCATAAAATCACCCAAAACAGGAACTACAGTTCAGAAAAAATTAAAAAGAGAAATACATATATCTAATGTTGACCCATTAAACATCATCAACAATGTTTTAAGCCCATTTATGTCTCATTCTCTCATGAAAAATATGTACATGCAAACAAGAGAGACACAATAGATCTTAATCTACATATATATTGGAATTTCTCCCTCTCAGTATATTTATATAGAAGTAGTATATATAAGTGTATATATATATATGTGTAATTTATAGCTCTTGCTTGAAGAAAATGGAAGGAAACATTTCCTTCAAGAGCTCATATTCACCACCTTGGTGATACTTTTGATGAGGAGAATTAGGGTTTGCATTCACACTTCCATAACCACTCTGTCCGTATCCATAGTCCAAAGCCCCCGCCGAAGAACTGCCGCTAGTACAAGCAGCCATCCGAAACATATCATGTGTAAGGCTTCTCGGAGTCATGAAGTCGGCAGAGTACATAGCAGCCGCGGCGGAACTTCCCCGGAGATTAGTCGGAATCGGATGGTTGTGTTGACCCTCGTACGTTGTAATCACAACCGTTGGATCTTGGAACGATCTCTCTACTCGTTTCTTCACGTTGCACCTTTGCGTCGTGCATCTATAGTAACTCCTATTTTCGTTTGCATTTGCAATTATTAGTTCATAATATATTTTAACTAAAATTATAAAAATGCAAATGCAGAAAAGTAAAATTAAATTACCTTGGGTAAGGGCTGTTTTTGACAGCCTTTTGGCCGTATTTTCTCCATCTATAACCATCTTCAAGATGATCAACTTCACTTTTAGTCATAAAAGAGACTCGTGGCTCTCTTTGTTTCTTCTCATTCTTTTTTGTTTTCCCTCTGAAAGCATATATTATAAAATTACGACAACATACTATACTAGATTCGTAAATGAGGGGATCATTTGATATTTCATAAACATTTTTTACATAAAGGACTTACACTTTTTTGGAACTTTCATTTTCTTCACCTCCATCTTCAGCTACCTCTCTTTTCCTCTGGCTCTTACAGGAATCTTGGCCGGTATGATCAGCCTCGCTAGAGGAAGAAGGTGCAGAAACCCTAGTTGGAGTCTCGCCAGAAACATCTCTTTTCGATTCTTGATCGATCGAAGAGTTGAAAACCTCTGATGAAGAGGGAGAAATACCAAAAGTTTTCTGCTGTAGAGAATCGTACGCTCCTGGAGAGCTTTGGAGGCAATCAGTGAAGGAGTAGGAAGATGGATCGAAACTGTTGTTTACATAAGAAGACGGAGTTGAAGTAGGGAGATTCATCATTTCGTACAAAGAGAAGGATGAATTGTATTGGTAGTTGTAGAGATCTTTGGTTTCATTAGACATGGTGGAGAACAACGAAGAGAGAAAAAAAAAAAAAAAAAAAAACTGAGAAGAGAAGATAAAGAAGAGAGAAGAAAATCCTTTTCGGTTTAGGGATTAGTTTTTTTCGTATGGGGTCTAGATTGGTGTTTGGAATTTAATTGGGTCTTCTTCACTCTTTCTCGTGTATTTATGCATTTTGAAACTCACAAAAGGATGAGAGAGAGAAAAAGAATGATGAATAATGCTTTTGGCTTAATATGATTTGGAAAGGAGCTAATTAAGTAAACTCAAATGGGATATAATTCAATGGTACGTGTGTGAATCCATACTATTAATACATTTATCTTTCTCTATTAATTTGGTTATTAACTTTTTCTCCATAGTAATTAAATTGTGTTTCTCCTTTATGCAATTCTCGTTTCTGGTATAAAATTAATTTTAATAGTATTCTTTATTTAGTAAATTTTTAGTTGAGAAAATGACTAGAATAGACCAAAATTTTTTTTATCACAAATATGGATATTAACAATTAAAATGACCAAAATAACACTTAAATGTTTTATTAAATATATATTTATATCCTTGGGTTAACTAATTCTAGAGACTTTTTGTTTAGAGTTGAGGGTGGAGTTTTGGGGATAGATTTTCGAATTTAAAAAAATTAAGAAAACTTAAAATTTTCAAAATAAACAGTGTTATTTTGGTCATTTTAATTTTTGGGGTCTATTTTTGTGATGAAAACTTAAAAATGGGCTATTTTAGAGAATTGATCTTTTTAGTTTATCAGTTATTGATATGATTTTGAACTTTATAAACAAAGCAAGCAAATTCAGACGCTCACAAAATTAATTTAAAACTAATTATGTAAAAGATAAGAAAGTTAATCTAGCTTATATATATATATATATATATATATATTCTCGGAAAACAAGATATATATACTAAATGTGAATATTAATTAAACTTGTAATACCATTTTGTGCCTTTTGAATGACTTTATAGATTATTTGTGCAGTAAGCTCTTTATATAAAGGGAAGCTGACCCAAAAGGCCAAAAGAGTTGCAAAAGTGGCTTCTAGTGAGGATACTTAGCCTTCTGAGTTTTTAATGTAGGGAACATAATGTTTGACTTGATCAAAAAAATGTATGAACAATAATCTTAATTATTTAAAGAAAAAAATTATTGAACGTTTTGATGCAGGTCTTTACAAAATAGTTCGGGTATTCAAATTGGGTTCTTTCTTTTTTTCTTTGGGTTTGTTTGTGTGCTGCCTTTTTAATGGGGCTACTAAGTAAGATATGCAAAGTAAAAGGACGTCGAAACACGGGCTACAACGAAGCGCGTGGAAGAAGGCGACGTAGTTGAAGTAGTCTTAGTCAGCGTAGACTATGGCTTACTACCGGAAACCCGAAACAGTCAGTCACTCTTTGCTTGGTTTGTGAAGAACGAAGGAAGAGGCAGTCAAAGATTCAAACGAAAAATAAATATTTATTTGGGAGTATTAGGCAGCCACGTGTAAAATACTATCACCGGCATTTGACCGTCGCCGACACATGACTGGGCACGTGCTAGATTGTCTTCTCTTCTTCTTCCTAGTCACTAGTCAGGAGGCAATAATATACAGACCCTACATATATTGGTTATAAACTTGTAACACTCTTAAACAATAGCTATTTCATAGAATGATAGAATGCATTATAATTTAATAACTTGACTACCATATATACTGCAAACTTGTGAAATATGGTCATGCAAATTTCAAAACAAAAATAAAACGATAACAAAAATTTGGTCATGTTTGTTATGAGCAGAGTTGGTTATGGGACACTATGAGTAGAGTGATTGTTATGCTGACTGATAAATGATGTCATCATTACGCTACCACAATTTGTTTTCACATAAGAACTTTCTCTTGCCAGTTGGCAAATAAAGGAGCATTGAAATATAAGTATTAACTATATAGTATTAAAGAAAGGATGGTCAAACCAATATTAGTAAAATGCTAACGTGCATTATGTACGATAAGGCTTTTTATACATCAGAAATTTCTTTTAGGTGCAATTTTATTATTATTTGCGTAAATCGTGGGGGACGGGGGGAAACCTTATGCTAGAATATTTGCTAGTGATCGTTTTCATCAAGAAAATTGATAGAAACATGATATGAGGCAACACAAAAAAGGAGGCACATACAGCCTAACCGACATGACAAATGAGAAGGAGACATACAACAACTTTAGTGTGGTCAAAGTAAAATGCTATTTCTTCTCTTTCAAAATACGAATTTATGAAATATATTTCTGATAAATAATTCTTAAAAAAATAATTTATAAAGTTATAATTAGTTTAAAGTTACTAAAATTATTGATCACAAAGTAATTAATAATAAAATTTTAATTTGATTTCTTAATTATGTGAAAATGCTAATAATATCGGTTATTTAAAGTAAAGAGAATATTAACCTTGAAATTCACTAAAAATATGACAGATAACAGCAAAGTATATTCATTTTAATTACAAAAGATACGATATTTCATCGTCTAGTGATTTTGCTCACGATCCATTCATTTGGTATGTGAAGGTCTGAAGGGTCAATCTATTCACGTCCTACATGGTCCTTTTTTTCTTGTGTGTCACACCCAAATTAACATATATTATAATTATATGTTAATGTAATTCATGATATTGTGAATCTTGGATTACAACTAGAATGTTATGTTAAACTGATATTGATAATCTATGTACATATCATAATCTCTACATAACAACTAGAATGTTAGGATGCTCCGAAATGACGTACTTAAATATCTTAGGCCAACTTCTACGGGGACTAGCAAAACACTAAAATAGAGTTTGATTTCACATATCTTCTCTCCGACCCATAATTAACTGCATGTTAGTGCTATTCTATTTTTGCTACTGTATCCTCTTATATTTGGTGCAACAACACTGTAGCGACGACACAAGTTTTTATCATATTTTTTTTCAAAACTGCTTATCACTGTTTGTTCAGCTACATATGTTATTTCATTTGTAAGATTAGTTTACAATTGAATTAACTATGTTAATACATTATTATTGTTTTGTTAGATTTTAATTAATACAAAATACTAATTTAGATAAAACAAATATAATATTAATTTTAAAATACATAACAAAGTTTAATTCAAATATTTATGGTTGGAATATTAGAATTTTTTAGATTTAGTATATTATAATTTGAATTTTTATTTTATGTATGTTTAGTTAATTAGTGTAACAATATGTTTTAATAATAATATATTATTATAATATAAATATATGTAAAATATAATTATTATTTTAGTATTAGTTAAAATATTTTATTCATAAATAACTAATATATATCAGAACTATTAAAACTAATAATAAAATAATGAAGAATATTTCTTTCAGTGTAACATTTAATGTTGTGGTTGGAGACCAATTGCATGTTTTTTGGAGATGCCCTTAGTCATTATATAACTTAAAATCACATTAAACCGTTTCAAATGAATCACAGGACTGTGCTTAGCCTTAATTAGGTATATAATGATTTTTATCAATGAGAAAACCTATAATTCAGGCCATGTTTTCAGCACCTTTTTGGTCAAACGAGTATGATGAAAAACGTTTTCGACAGAAGCAATAATGCCAATCTAGTAATTTCTTTTTTTGCCAAAAATTTAGTTAATCTCTTAAAGTTAAAAGAATAACTCTAAATGAAACATATGGGGACATCAACTATTCTCATTTGACCAACATCAAATCGAATTATTCTTTAACTCGGAAAATAAACTTCAATTACTATCGGATTCCATAGCTTATATAATAATATCTAGCATACATAATTTTTATAGTAACGCGCAGCTGCTTCTCGTACCTATCCACAATGCATGCTAGATATATGAGCCCTAGATATATGTATATATAAATAAACATCTATATCTTAATTGAGGCAAAGAATGAACGCCGTAATTGGTGCCTAATCGTTTGCGTTGTCATATCCATAAAGCTTCATTTGAATGTAGCCCGCATTCAATTAAGTTACAGTACTTAATTAATGTGAATCTTTTGTTGGCTTGCTTATTACCTTAGGTGAGACGTGACCTCTGTATTTGTAACTTGTAAAGAGCAAAAACATTACCTATATACTAATAACACATATTTAACTGTTTCTGTCTGCAGTTGAAATGTCTAACCTATTATGGGGATATGTGCCTAACTTATAAATATTTTATAATATTTGAAGTAAAATACATAATTAACTTGTCTGTTTAAATACTTATAAAAACAAAAGAACATAGATTGAAAATTGACCAAGAAAAGAGAGCCTGAAAATGTTGACTTTACCCTTTAAAAGGAATAATTGGGGCAGGTTTGTTGTTAGGTGTGTGACAATATTTTTATTATTGCTTTGCTAGTTATGTAGAATAAAAAGGAATCTCTTGTATTTTCTGTTCTTTCACACACATCCTCTTTCTGAAAGGTTGAGTTGTTTGAGCTGACGAATTTAAAAATATTAAGGTGTTGGTTGCAAGTGGCTCGTTGGTATTTGATCACGGATCACCGGCCAGCGATCGAGCTCACACACAAACCCAAATGAAAAGAAGAAGACAATAGGAAAAAAAAAATCCAATAAGAACAGTTTGAATGGAATTATCAAGAATAGGGGAAATAATTTTCATTGCTTTATATCTTATGTATAGATGATTACATGTTATGGCTAACAGATTGTGAATACAAATAAAAAATTTATGTTTACTCGGGGATGTAACTATGTTTTGTCAACCAAATAAATTCGAAATTCCGATTTAAAGAATATATGCTCCATTTGTTTCATTTTAGTTGATGTTTAATGTTTTTTACAAAAATTAAAAAAATATTTTTATATAATTTATCTTGACTACATAAAAAATATTAAATAAAACTATTTCAATAAAAACAGACATTTGTAATGGAAAAATGCACTTTATAACTATACAAAAAACCTAAATTAGTTAAGCAACCAAAATCCTCTTCTCTTTTTCTTTTCTCTTTCTATC